CAAATTATTTTCATAATAGATAGATATAAGACATTACACCAATATATAGAAAGATAGAGAATTTGAAGCACTATCAGAATATATGGTTACTTTTTTAAAAAGGTAGCTCGATAGTGATGAAAAACTTATTTTCATGACAGTGACAAAATCATGTCGGTGGGAATTTGGACATGAGGGTGTCTTCGTTGTACTCTATTTCTTATGGTAATGCATAAGTGTAAACTAAGACAAATATACAGGATGATAGAAAATCCCACGGGCTTTCAGAATATATCATTATTTTTTTAAAAATATGTTATTATAGAAAAGATTTTGTTAAAATACTGAGTGCAGTTTCTTTTTTTCGGGGGTATATATGATTGTTGTTGTACGAGGTGCGTCTGATCTTGGTAAATCATTTACTTGGTTTCGCTTCGATATTCTTCAAAGTTTGATTCTTATAATATTTCTTGTATCACAAGGTAGACTTTCAGATTGAAGAAGAAATGATGGTATATTTTTTACTTTCCATGATGGATGTATCTGTTTGAAATGTTATACGACAGAGCGAAATTCTTTTTTGCCTTTAGCAGATGATTGATTTGGCATTCTGAGTTGATTCAGTCATAATGAACTAATGTTATCCTTTATATATTCCTGTTATGGACATGTGCAGAAAAGAAAATATGTCTGCGAAAGAAAAATTTTCTCTTCTAACATGAGTTGACTAGAGTGACTCTGGAAATAATATTTCTTTCACCATTTTTATATCAAATTTTCGCTACTGAAAAATTGAAAAAATAGTACATAACAATATTGTTACTGGTTCTCCCCCATAATACAAGTTATAGATCTCAAACTTTGTAGTTATGTAGGACTTGATATGTACAATAATCTGCCAAAGTTTCAGGAAGTTTGCTTTTGTTGAATGCGAGAACGATAAATTTCAAAATCATTACAGAACTTCTGGGACACTCTTTATATTTAATTTATCGAGAATATTACAATGATTTCCTACCAGTTGGCAAATGTGTTAAACGACAACCTGATTCACTTTTATTCACATGTTGACCACCTGGACCTCTTGAACGAATAGGTTCAGCTATTAAATCTTTAGCAGGAAGTTCGATTTTAATCTACAAAAAGAAAAAAAAGAACAATTACTTCAAGAACATGAATTAATTCTTTGGCATACATCTTTTGGCTGAGGTAAAACAGCAACCGTAACTGTACTTGTATGAATTCGTCCACTTTTTTCCGTTTGTGGAACACGTTGTACTCGATGTACTCCACATTCATATTTTAAACTTTTAAATACATCTAAACCATTTATAAATGCTTTTCCTTGACGAAGACCACCTTTAAATACAAAATTTATAATTGTTTATTGTATAGATTTGTGTATGGTTTTTTTTTTCTATTCATACCAATATCAGTTTTATCATATTCAACTATTTCAAAAGACCATTTTCGAAAATTAGCATAATTTGTATACATTTGAAATAATTCTTTAGCAAATAACATTGCTTCTTGACCACCAACACCAGTCGTAACTTCAAGTTCAGCATCATCATTATCAGCAGGTGCTTCCGGTAAAATATGCTCTAGAATCTAAGAATAATAATGAATAAATTAAAAGATTCAAATAATTATTATTCACTTCATTATCAATTGAATTTAAATTTGTTCGTAGACGAACAAGTTCATCCGTAGCCATTTGTGAAATATCATCATCATCATTATTTTCTATAGAAAAACTATAAAATTAATTTTAAGAATATATTTTTTATTTTTATGTTTTTCTTTTCAGTCTGTAAAAAAAACGGAATAATTTCTGTCGCATGACTCAATGCTAGGTGAATACTTGTAAAAAAAACAACACAGTAAAAGAAAAAAAAAGAGAAAAAGAATAAGAAATGTTGAATAGCAATCAAATAACTCTATTAAAATAGTGAATAAAATGAAATTTTTAAACATTTAAAAAGTTTCATGTCGTTTATACAGCGCTATGTTTACCAAAAACAAACGACAAACAAAGTTCGATTTTTATCAAAAAAAACTAATCCATAGAATGATCATTGACTTTTATTTTATAAAATATTTTATGAACTATTACTTGATGTTTTCTATTTTGAATAAAACAAGTCCACTAACAATCTCAATATTTCACATATATTAAATTGAAAAGAAAAATCTAACCAGGAGAAAAAGAAAGTACTTCTAACTATAACTTTCAAAAAACAACACAATATTTGCACTTAATTCAATTCTTTTTTTTTTTTCTTGCTTTAAATAGAAATTCTCCTAAGGCAATAATCAAAGTGTAGATGCTTTATATAATCGGATATGAAAGTTTAAATTACAAATGGGATACTATTAATTTTTCAATTTATCAGATGATGTATCAAACTATATTTCAGTTCATATCAAATTATAAAATATAGTTTTATTAACAAGTTATAGATATAACGAATACTATAAGAGTTTAAATGTTTCTCAATTGTCGAATTTTATTCATATCAACCAATTTCAATTAAGAAATTTTCTATGTAAGAAAGAATTTTTTTTATGTCAATATTATAGAGAAATATAATAAAAGTCATCATGATTATTATTGTTTTACCATTCGAAAGTGTTTTTGTTTCATCAATATCTTGAAGAAGTTTTTCACGTAATTTCATTGTTTGTAAAATTTTTTTAAGATATTGAATTCTTTCAATTGTATTTTCATTTTCATTTATTTGTAATTGATCTAATTCTTTTTTATAATTTATTGTTAAACGTTTTATAATATTATCAATAATTATATTATTATTATTATTATTTATTGTTGTTAATGTTCGTCGAGAAAATATTATAAATGATAAACGTTTTAAATAAATATTCCACATTTTTCTAGAATATATTTATATATTAGCTAAACATATCAAATAACTTATTTTGATAATTATTTAATTCTTCAAGAAATATTTTGTTAATCATGAACATATATATTTTTTTTATTAATTATTATTCATGTATCAAAAGAAAAACGATTAAACAATGAACAATTATTACAAAAGAATAAATAAATCAATATACAAAGATATTGATTAATGCACGTTACTGACTACAAAATTAGAATGCACATTGTTAGATATTTCACAATTTTTTTGAAAAAGAAAAACTAGATCATTTCTTTGAAGGCATCTGTTAAACATGATATACCGCACAATTAAGAAGAAAAAGAAATAAAAACAAAAAACATCAATACACGATCAATTTGAATTGAAAGTCACATTTATACATAAATTTTGAAAAGAAAAAATAAACAAATAAATACGATAATCATCAATCTGACAAGCATTCATGTCTTCATTCGAGGATAATAATACACGAGATTCTTTGATCAATGTGATATTATACAACATAAAAGAACATCTATCACCATGCATCCGTATATCGTATATCGCATTCTTGTAAAGCAGGTAATTTTTCCTAAATAAAATATTGTCTCTTATTTCTTTTTTTTTGTAAATTAAAATATTATAAAATTCATACTTTTAAAGCTTCAAAAGTTACTGGAGACAAATGTGTAGAATTCAAATTAAGTTTTCTTAACATTTTCATATCTAAAAAAAAGAAAACCAATGGAGAAAAAATACCCATAAGGAAGAATAAATAAACTTACAAGATAAATAAGTTAGACCTTTATCTGTTACTTGTGTTTCACATAAATTAAGTACTTGTAATCGATTTAAATGTTCGGAAATTAATTCCAAACCTGCATCACCAAACTTAAACAAACAAAAAAAGTTTCAAGTATTTTTTTTTTCAAAATTTCTCATCATTTACTTGTGTCGACCATAAATTTAGATATCGAAGTGCTGGTAATTTAATTAATTGTTCAGCACAAGCACTTGTTACATTTGTAAATGCTAAACTTAAACATTCAAGATTACCAAATGAACCACTAGATAATAATTTTGCTAGATCACTATCTGTTGAACGTGATGGTAATGTTAATTTTCTTGGTCCACCTTTTTGTTGTAATTCTCTTAATGCTATTTGTCTGTCACATACTTTTGCATATAATTTTAAACCAGTTGGTGTTGATTGTAATGTTGATATTAATTGTAATTTATTATCACGATTTTCTACAGCATCTAAATCAAGCATAGCACATAGAGTCTAAAAGAAAATTTATTTTTCTCCTCAAAATAAAAATAAAAAATGATTATCTGATTAATTTTACTTCTAATGAACTTTGATTTTCACGTAATGCAAGTAACATTAATGCTGGTAATAATTTATTAATACTTAATAAAAATCGTTTTTTTCGACAACAACATGAAATTAATTTATTAAGCTAAAATATAAAAATAAGAATTTTATTTGTTTTTTTTTTTTTTCTATTTAATTAAACATACAATAAGTGAAAACATTTCACCATCATCATCACATGCCACACTACCCAAACAAAACATTTCAAGCCATCCTTCTTTTCCTTCTCGAATACCTAATACTGTTTGATGAACTTCACATCGAGAATCATCAACAAAATTTTTAACAACATTTTTAAATATTCTATTCAAAAGAAAATATAATCTTTAGAAAATGAGTCCTTTTTTTTTTAATTTTAATTAAGAAAAATTACTCTATAAAACGATCATGTGTTAATGCTTCATCAGGAAATGGAATTGATTGAAGAAGTAAACCAAGTTGTGGTCTCCAGTCATCAAATGTAGACCTAAAACAAGTACAAAATATAGGTCAGACATGTAATTAAATAGAGGAAATATTTAAAGCTTTCTTTTGTTTTTACATTAAACACTAACTAATAGATATAGTGCATGATCAAGCAGAATAATCGAATTATTAATCTCATGGTTCTTTCATATAGAAGTCATAAATAGATTACAAGTCTATCTTACACGTATCTAAGATAGAAACAAAAAGAAAAAGAATTCTTATTTTAAGCCTAAAGCAACTATTAATGAAGTTCAAAAATCAAAAAAAAGAAAACTTTCGTCAAGTATCACTTATTTAATTTTATGAATTATTCCTATTTAACTCTTTGGTCATCGATGACGTATATAAACGTCACGAGCTTTATTATTGTATAAAATTAGCGTAATTGCTCATAATGCATGCTTTGCTTTAATATACATTCGCATAAAAGCAAATGTCAGACAGTACGAGCTTTTATATAATCATTTTATTATAGTACACGTTAGAGTTACACCATAAATAGTTATTACGAATTTTCTCAAGAATTGTTTTTTCCTTTCTTATATCTATAATTAAAGAGTTAATATTTAGAGAGATGAATATTCAGGAAGTAGTTCAAGTACAAAAAACAGCTATGATGTCTAAAAACTAAATACTGGTGGAGTGTTTTAAAAAAAAACTCAATCAAATGTGTAAGGTCAATTTGACCCAAGCATAAAAAATGGAATGTAAGAGAAGAGTATTTGAAATTAGTTAGTGTAGAATGTTAATCCATGGAATATTGAAAGTCGACATTATTTTTTCTATTCAATAATAGACTTTCTGATTGATTGTCATGAAATTTTTTCTTAATCAAAATTTCCAATATCAAAAATTGACATTTTTTGCATATGTTATATTTCTTAATTTTATTATAATAACTTACATAGTTTGTAACATTGTTGTATAACAAACTAATTGACTATCAGTTTCTTCTTCATATGCTCGACAACTATCTTTATCTTCAAATCGAAAACTAAAGCATACAAAACAAAATATTGAAATAATTTTCAATTAAATAAATAAATAAATAAATAAAAATGAAATTTTGTTTTTCTTTTTGTCTCTTACCTTTTTCTATCTTCAAAAAAATTATAAATAGCTGCAAGACAAACAGAAACAAAATTTGATAAAACACGTGGAAATGGACAGATCATTGTTGGACCATGTATTCTATATATAATAAAATTTCATTTTTTTTTTTTATCAAATATTTTTTTTTTTTTTGTTTACCTTTTAATAAAATTTTGTACAACACGTAAACCATCATTTTGTGAATTAAGTGCAAGTAAATATTCTTGAACAAATATACGCATTCGAGGATATTTACCAAAATCCTTTCAATTAATTTCCTTTGTGTATTCTTTTTTTTTCAGATATTTTTAATAAAAAACTTACAGTATTATGTTTTAATATTCTTTGAACAACAGGTGTAAACATTTCAATAACAATTTGTGAACGAGGACTATCACGACAATGCTAAATTAAATAAATATATATAAGAAAAGGAATTTTGTTATATTTTTACTCGACTAAAAAAATCACATATTTCAGGTGATGGATAATTTTTTTCAAGTAATGGTGCTAATGATACAATGACATTTTCATGAACATATCGTGGTAAATTAAATTGTTGCTAAAAAATAAAAGAAAAAAAAGAAAACAATGATTAAAGAATATATTGTTGAAAATTTTACTTGTTGAAGAATTTCAGAAATAATTTCAAGTGGAAATTGATGAATTTCAGCATCTTCAATTGGTATTGTCATTGCAAAATCAATCATATGCTAAAATTGATTTTATTTTAAAAGGATATCATTTAGAAAAAAAAATATATATATATAAATTTTACTGTCATTTCTTTTAATAATATTTCAGGACGATTTGCTGATCGTAAAATTCGTTCAAATTTTAATTTATTTCGCTAGAAAAAAAAAAAAAAAGAAAAGTATATTTTTAGAAATAAAATCTAGACATAATTTTAATAACATACTTTCCATTGAATTGAATAGAACCATTGATCTCTTAAATAAAGTGTACCGACCTAAAAAAAATCATAAAAAAAGTTGTTTATTATCGATTTAATTTTGAATAAAAAAAAAACAAAACAAGAAATTGTTTACTTGCAAAAAATAAATACATTCATTTGTAACAATTCGAATACAAAAACGACATTTTGAATCAATCATTTTTGTTTTTGACCATGGACATATATCTTCTATTGATGTATAAAGTATCGGTCGATCCATATAACCTTCACTCTAGAAAATACATATATTTTTTTTATTAAATATTTATTAAAAAAAAGTTCATAAACACAAACTGTATTGGATACTATTTCATTGTGTTTAAGAGAAAGATGATGATCTTCCCAACGACGAAGAAAACGGGAAAAACGAATTTTTTCAATGATATTTCTTGCATGAGGAACACGACAAACTTGCATAAGACCGTCAGTTAATAATTTATAACGTTGTTGAACACGGCGACCATCTATAAGCATGCAAAGTGCATTAGATGTTGTTTGACTAGCAGTAGTAGCAGCAGGAGCAGTAGCAGTGGTAGTGGCTACAACATTCGATGATGATGTAAGAGTTATATTACCATCTTCACTTAAGGGATAATAAGTATTGCATGTGTCAACAGGATTCACTGGTAATGAATTTGGTGTAGATCCTAATCGATCTTCCATTGAATTAGAATGACTTACGAAAGAAAATCAATGAATAAACCAAAATAAAAATAATTTATTAATAAATTTTTCTTGTTACTTTCGATATACTCTATATATATATATAATTTATCTAAAAATAGATTAGAAAATTTAATAATATCGAAAAAAAAAACAATGATCCATTGAGAAAACATTTTTCTCTATATCATTAACATCCGATCCATCAAACGCTTTTTATTATTAAATGAATCTTACATGTCTTCCATACTTAATAGTGAATACACTAGCATTATAAATTCATCTATAAAAAGAATAGTTAACTTTCTTTGAAGAAAAAAAAAACAAACAAAAGTTCATAGAATCCAATGAAAAAAATCTAAGTTTTAACATAGATTGTCTATTAAGAACAACTGAAGACTGTCGAATAACATAATAACATTTCTATTTCATCATAATCATTAGTTATCA